TTATCCCTGCAAAATGAAAGACAAAGCCTACAAAATGTTATTAAACATAACCAATTATACAACTGTAGTTCTGAGAAACATTTGGGAGTAGGTACATGGGTTGCTTTATTCCGTTGGGAAAATGAAACTTAAGCCTGTTTCTGCAAGAGTCAGGGAGAATACTATTACAACTATCTGTTGCTGGTATTTAAACTCCAGTAAACTAACATATATCTTTAAAAAAATCAAAGTTTGTGCTGGAAGGATTGGAGAAATCTAGGGTCCTTCTCCCACATCTGGAAGCCATGCCTGGAAACAGCTTAATTCTGGGGTGTTACACACAGTATAACTGAATGTGTTACTAATAAAAAATAATTGTCTCGATCTAACCTTCGCCTGACTAAATCTCTTTGTCAGTGGCAATATAAAAGTGCTTCATAAAGACCTGATCACATCCCTGCTGGTAGCGTAGAAAAGAAATAGGCACTTGATAGAAAGAAGCAAAAGATCTATTTCTAAACTATAAGTATAAATTTCTTTGGAACTTGGCTGTCTCAGAAAAGTTAATGCAAGAGAGGAGAGCCAAGAATCAAGTGGTATCAAATGACTCTGACATGGTCTGGATGCCACTTTTTATTCGGCAAGGGGAAGGGGAGCGCCAGAGCCACCAAGCATACATGGTGTTGCTTGGCTCAATAGTGATCAATAGCATCAAAAAGCAGATGTGCAGCACAGCCATAATTTCATGATTTTTACTTGTCCAGTCCAGTTTATCTATACTATAAAAGGGAAGTTTCAGTAAGCAAAGACCTTTTCCCTCACCCCTTCTTTAGGGAATCAGCAACCGGAACTCACTTCTTCTGTTTAGCTGAGTGGAAGTTAAGGTAGAAGAGGTTGCATCAATGTTCCCATATTCTGAGAGATAGAGCGGAACTAAGATCTGATTTTGTTGCTTTTCAGGGCAACATTGTAACTTTTTCCTTTTAACCTTCTCCTCCTGTTTTCTGAATTGCAACACAGTTTACTGAGGAGAACAGAAAGTCTGTGTTTATTTAACATGTTGACACAGGAGCATTATCGTCCAGCAAACCAAACCTAGCAAACCAAATAGTCAACAGCTACACGTGACTTGTACATTCACTGTACAAAACAGAACCACTTTTTCCACTTTCTAGTCTGTAAAGAAACCACACCCATTCACTAAGGAGAGGAAGTTGCCTATTTCTTAAGTCCGTCTTTTAACCAAATTCTTCATTCTAAAGGCTGTTACTCACAAATCAGCCCCCAAATACTTTTTATGTGCTGCTCGCAATCCCCACCCCATCATCAAAAAAGCTATATTTTTTTAAGTTGCAAAACAAAAAGAAAAGAAAAAAGAACCATTGCTATCATTCATTTCTATGGGGAAGAGGACAAGGAAACACTGGTCATGACTATATAACAACTAAATCACCACATTATTAAAACCCAGCAACAGTCCAGCATCAGGCATTAGGGGAAGAGCTTTTTCTCAAATTGTTTGGGATGTCAAAGCTTGACTGGACTATCAGTAGATTATACCGTAAATCCAAGCAGAGATGAGGTATACTTCATCCCACAGTGACAGACTGAGATATATACATCCTACAGCCCACAAGCCACCAGTGGCACTAATACTTTAACAAGGTGGCCATCAGAAACCCAGGAAAGAATGTCACCTGTCATACCAGCCAGGACAAAATGAAACTAAAAGATGGTGTAATTCAGGGTAACATACTGTATGCATAAATCTCTACAAACCCAAAGAAAGCCTTGGGCTCTCTCACTCTCCCTTCCTTTCTTGTGGCCTCACATAACCAGGAGACAGAATCTAATATTCAATTCCACCTTCTCTGATTCCTGGCTTGCTGTTGCAATACAATATGCACCCTGTATTTCCATCTGACAAACCTATTTATAGTTTTGGCTCCACCTATATCAATGGAGGACTACACTTCATGCTTCTAATGAAGAAGGCTGCAATCCAGAAAAGTTTATGCTGTAATAAATCTGATAGTTTTTTAGATGCCACAAAAGTTTTTATCGCAACCAACAGACGTGGCTCCCGCTCTATATATTCTTACCTATATAGTGCCTCTCAAGGAAAGAAATATGATTGTATCTCTGTCCTAAATATGACAACAACAGAACATAAATGACCTTGAATATTTTGCATGTTCCCTTGCAAGAACATAATGACTGAAAACCAGTATTTTCAAGTGCCAGTGTCAGCTATCAAAGCGGCGGCTAGCAATCCCATGCTTCAACCAACTATTAGAGCTAAAAAAAATGCAAGACTGTGGGGAGAGTTTTTTGTTGCTCATTCAGCAGCAAAATGTGAATAACTCATCCCAGAGAAAAATGAAAGACAATGACACTCTATCCAATTTAGATTCCACAAATGTTCACAATACAGTCTTAGTTAGAAAGATTATACTGAAAGCCCCTGCACAGGTTAGCTGAGATGGTGCTACTGGGACAGAACTAATTCCAAGCAGTGGTGGTGGAATTGGCAGAGTAGTCAAGAACATATTATAATCCTTCTCATCTCCGTACCTGTTCTACCGAACACCCACGTGACAAAGACACTCAATGAACAGTCAGTCCTTGCAGCATTTGTGTGTCTACTAGGTTTGTTTAAAAATAATTGCCATCGGCCACACTGGCTGCGCTATTCAAGATGATGCTGTCTGAAAAGGTAATTTTCCCCATATTTGATTTTGACTTGAACATTTCCCATTGTTGATGTCTGAAGGATCCAAAGTGTTCCAGACTCACAGAAGAAGTAGGCAGCGAAGGAATGCAAGACAGAAGTCTCAAGAGCTGGAAAACAGGTATTGTTCACCTAGCTTTGGGACCAGCTGATGGAGTTTAAGCCTAGACAACAGATGAGGACTCAACTGCAGACCATCAGAAATGCCTTGGAAAGTTTTCAACTCATTAGGAGAGAGCTTTCCTATGAATAGCCATCTAACTCACAATAAATTCTGGGTTTCAGGGACAACCATTTTAGTGGGTTTGGGGCCAGCAGATTTCCATTTTTTTTCTCTTGGTCACACAATGCACCAGGAAATGTGATTTAGCCCAGAGTCTCCCCTCCCCACCCCACCCCATAATCACAGATTTCCTCTCTGCTTTTGAAAAAAATGTGAATCTTTTCACATTGGTTCAGGTCTGTCATTGCTTGAAATGCTACAGAAAAGGAGGATGAGCTGCATGCACACACACACAACGTACTGTCCACCCTCATGAGGCAGATGCATGCATAAGGCAGTGCCAGCACACACCCTCCTCAGCAAAGCCTCCCACCCAAAACTCTATTTTATTTTTCTTTAAAACTTCGCTTTCTGGGCAACACTCCTGAGCACAGCACCATATCAGAAGCTGACAATTGAGGAAATTGAGACAGGAAGGCGCCTTCTTGTCGCTTGTTCATGTAGTTCTTTGAATATGCAAAGCTGTAAGGAGAACTGCATGCACTTTGATTTAACTGTGGTCACTCAATTGAAAGGACCCAAATTCCCTATTGCGGTTGCATATATAGTGAATGCAAATGAATTTGCATTTCCCTCACTGTATAGTCAAACCCTTAGAGAGGCAAGGCAGGGGCTCAGCTTCCCTCTCCAAACCAAAAAAAAGGGCCTGTTTTTTTTTCCTCCAACAGAACTTGGAACATTTTTTTAATGTAATTTGCTGCCAATGTGCCATGTGTCTGTTTGCAGTCAGTGACATTTATTTAAAGAATAACATGTTGCTTTTTAGTTCCTATTTTGTATCTTTTTTTAAAAAAACTACACTTATTATTAAAATAATAGCCCAATTCCCCTCCAAAAAACCACCTCTCCTCCAAAATAACCAGAAATAAGTTGTTCATCACATTTTTAAAAAAAATCTAAGAATGTTGTCTGTTATTTTGCAAAAGTTCAAAAAGAGTAACATCGTTCTGATACATCCCTTTTATGCCTCCAAAAAAAGCTAAAGACTCATCTCTTCAGGCAGGCTTTTTAACAATTATAACTGATATTAGCAGAAATGTTAATCTTTTTATGTTTTCATGTTTTAATCTTTTAACTGTATTTTAAATCATATATTGTTTAATTTAACTTTTAATATTTCACTTATTGTGCTTTCAAATTGTGTGAATTTTAATGTTGTGAGCTGCTTTGGGTCCCTTGTTGGGAGAAATGTGGCATATAAATAAAACTACTACTAATATTAATAATAATACATTGCTGCCAGGCTCTGTTCTTCACATCCTAAGGAAACAAGTCTAATAATTTCTGAACCTAATCATCCTCCAGCAGGGATCTCACCAGGGGAGAAATGCACAGCTACTGCATAAAAGTTAAGCCTCTGCTTTGGACTAATATCATATATTTCACTATCCAGAGAGAAACATTAGCATCAATAATGCAAGGCACAACCCATTTCAAAGAGTCAGTACAAGGAGACTCCAGAAATATGTCATCCCCGAAATGTCCAAAAGATTGCGAGGCAAAAATCCATGTATTTAAAAAATCAGTGAACAACAAAATGCAACGAAACCTCTGTCATGACAGGAGGTCTCTCTTTACTTAATGTTGTCTGATGTGAATATTGACATGATGTCAGAATCACAATCGCTGCAGTTTCGGCATGGCGGGGGAGGGTAGCGGAGAAAACCTCAAGCAGTATTTCAAAATATGTAAGATAATTCCTCATGAGAGGAACACCTTTGCTTCTGGCTGGATGCTGCTTCGCCACCCAAAACAAGTAACAGAACCTGCTGTATGATTAACTAATTATGTGTTGTCAAGTCAACTGTGATTTATGGTGAGCCTTTATTTCCATGGTTTTCTAGGTATAGAATCTTCAGAAGCGGTTTACGATTCTTTCTTTCTTATTCTTTCCTACCTGCTCCTCACAGATGTAACTCCCATTGTCCGTAGCCAACACCTGAAATCCGAAATGAGGTACCAGTTGGTCACACCCAAGATGGAAAATAACTGTACACAGTCACTTACCAGAGCATTAACATCTTCCGTTTTGTAGATTAACATCCGTATTTCATCAGGATCACCGTTGAAAATTGCTTGGACCAGGGGTGGCTAAAGAAACAAAACGTAGAGGGGAAAAAAATTAGGTCTGTGTCTATGTTTTTATTTATACATTCTATAACATTTCTTGCTACACTCATTATGCCGACACTAGATTTGCTTGCATTCTATACAATTTTAAAGGCTATTCCTCTCTCTCTCTCTCTCTCTCTCTTACTGGAGAGGACAAGAATCAAATCAGTGTTGCATTCAACTCCACCCCAAAATGGGAGAAATCAACAGATCTGAATTCCAGAGATCTGTTGTATAGGATGGAAATTGTATTGATTTAATTAATTAACTTGATTTAATTGATTTAATTGATTAATTTTATTTAAAATATTTTTACCCTGCCTTTCTCCTTGAAAAGGACCCAAAGTGGCTTACAACACTGAAAGATGATATTTAAAGTTTATAACATTGGTAATTTGGCCGGGGGGGGGGAGATGAGATTTTGCAAGGCCCCATTCCTTTGGAAGTTAAAGAGACATTATCTAGACCTTAGCTAAATTCCCGCCTCAGATATCAATGTTACAGAATGTTCTTAGGCAGCTTCTCATGAAACTGGACAATTATTATGAATCTCGTGTGCCGCTCAGGATGTTTTCGCATACAGAGAAGTCAGAAGCTTCCATCCCATCACAAGTCCTCATAGTGTTGGTCTGCGACGATACAATAAAGATTGATTGGTTGACAAGTCCCCACATCACAATGAAGGTCCAAAGCTTTGACTTCTGGATATCATAACCCAGCACAGATCCAGAATGAGGAACTAAATACCATCCACATTCTAAATTACTGGAAAACATGATGTCTCTGCTACTAAGCTACCACCCAGGTCTGGGGAAGATGAATTTGGGCCCACAGAGATCATGTAGTGCAGACAGAGCAAGGTGGAGGAGTCAGAAGCATCCCTCCCTATCGTAAGTCCTCATATCACAACAAAGGCACAAAGCTTTGATTTCTGGATATGATAACTCTACAACTCTTGCAATGCTGCCAATGTTAGTTTTATGGATTCTGGCTCTAATCATCAGGTGTTCTCACTCTACTGACCAGCTCTTGCCACCTGAATGGCACTTCCTATGAACCAGCACCCATTCCAGGGAAAAGACTTCACCATGCAATCTAGCTCCTACACATATTATAAAAAATAAAACATCCTCAAATCCTAAAATACAAAGTCTAACCACTACTTTATAATAGTAATCTTCAGGCCTTATAAATAGCTTTGCAGATTTCCAGTCAAGTTGCACCTAAGCATCCTAGCAGCATACACTCTGTAACTATAGGTTCTTTTCTGCTTCCTCAGCTATTTTAGGCCCTGTGTTTGGCTCCAAGACAGCTCATTTCCATTTTGCTTAATATAGCCTTACTAGGATTGCTAATATTTCCAGGTGAAATGGAGGCCACTTCCTGCAAAGCCCTGGATGTGGGCCATTTTGCTCCTGCAAATAATTGCTGCAGCCGAGTTCTGCAGTTTGGCAACAAAATAGTCACCATTTTCCCAAACTAACATTGATATTAGAGTTCTGGAAATACATATTTTAAAATATATGCATGTCACCTCTGAAAACAAGTCACAGCAAAGACAATTTCACATCCCAGTCTTCTTTTTGGGATCACCTCTAAACACTGCTTCCTCATTATCAGTGGCAGTTTTCAGCACAAATGAGGAGAAATTAAACTCTTACAACCACCCATTCCTTGAATGTTGTCTCCATTTCTAAAGCCAGATGATGTGGAAATGTGAGACAAACATTCAAAGAAAATGTTCACAACAGCTGAAAGACAAACAACAAACAAAAAAGGACGCACAGCACTGTGGGATGAAGTATACCTCATCTCTGCCTAAAGAAAAAGGTATTTGCCTGCCTGAAGAAGGAGAGCAAAGATGGGGCCACGCTGGCGTCCCACGGGAGAGAGTTCCCGAGTCTGGGAGCACCAACGGAGAAAGCCCTCTCCTCCATCCCCACCATGCATGCCTGTGAAGGTGGTGGGACCCAGACAAAGGACTCCCCTGATTATCTGAATTCCTGGATAGACTCATAGAGGTAGATGCAGTCTTTTAAATAGCTTTGACCCAAGCCGTTTAGGGCTTTCAAGGTTAAAACCAGCACTTTTAATTGTGCCTGGTATGTCCCTGTTGGTTCTGCTGGCAGCCAATGGAGATGTTGTAACAGGGGAGTTATGTGTTCCCTATATAACCAGCTCCAGTTAGCAATCTGGCTGCAGCATTTTGGACCATCTGAAGTTTCCAGACACTCTCCAGAGGCAGACCCATGTAAAGTGTGTTACAGTAACCCAGGCAAGGTGTTACTGGGGCATGTGTCATCATGGCCAGATTAGACCTCTTAAGAAATGGGTGCAACTCCTGGCCACCACTGAAACCTGGGCAACCAAACAGATGCAAATCCAGGAGCACCCCCAAGACCTCTGTTTTCAGAAGGAGTGTAAGCCCATCCAGCACAAGCTTCAACCCTGTTCTTTGATCTGGTTGTCAACTGACTGGGAGCACCTCTATCTTGTCTGGATTAAGTTTCAGGTTTTGCCCTTCAGAGTCCCCTGGACTGCAAAGAGAACAAACCTATCCATTCTGAAGGAAATCAACTCTGAGTGCTCACTGGAAGGACAGATCCTGAAACTGAGGCTCCAATACTTTGGCCATCTCATGAGAAGAGAGGACTCCCTGGAAAAGACCCTGATGTTGGGAAAGTGTGCGGGCAAGAGGAGATGGGGACGATAGAGGACGAGATGGTTGGACAGTGTCATCGAAGCAACCAGCATGAATTTGACACGACTCTGGGAGGCAGTGGAAGACAGGAGGGCCTGGCGTGCTCTGGTCCATGGGATCACGAAGAGTCAGACACGACTTAACAACTAAACAACAAGAACTCCATTACTGATCTAGAACTGAAACAGCTTCCTTAGATTTGGATGGAAAGGAGAGATCATCTACATATTGGTGACACTGAACTGCAAAAATCCAGATGACCTCTCCCAGCACTTTCATGTAGATATTAAATAACACAGGAGACAAAACAGGACCCTGAGAGGCACCACAGGACAAATGCCAGGATGTGAAACAGGAGTTCTCCAGTACCACCCTCTGGGTTCTCCCCTCGAGTAAGGACCAAAGCTACTGTTAAACCGTATCTCCAAGTCCCATCCTAGAGAGATGGCCCAGAAGGATACCATGGTTGATAGCATCGAAAGCCACAGAAAGGTCCAAAAGAACCAACAGGGACATAGAGAGGCACCACAGGACAAATGCCAGGATGTGAAACAGGAGTTCTCCAGTACCACCCTCTGGGTTCTCCCCTCGAGTAAGGACCAAAGCTACTGTTAAACCGTATCTCCAAGTCCCATCCTAGAGAGATGGCCCAGAAGGATACCATGGTTGATAGCATTGAAAGCCACAGAAAGGTCCAGAAGAACCAACAGGGACATACCTTGTCCAATTCCTGGCATAGGTCATCCACCCAGGCCACGAAAACAGTCTCTGTCCCATAACCAGGTCTGCAGCCAGAATGAAATGGATCTAGATAATCTGTTTCATCCAGGAGCCCCTGGAGCTGGGAAGCCCTCTTCCCAGCAGAGGGTGACTGGAAGACCCAGATCACACAGAGACAGAGCACCCAGTTTTCAGTTGATGTGAAGCTTTAACTACGTAATATTTCTGCAATCCACCTTCATGCAGCCAGTTCACGAGCTGATGACCCTTTACATACTGTTTTATTTATACATGTATATTTAATATTGTTATGTTTACCACCCAACTGGGAAAACCTCTTAAGGCACATTACAGTAATGAAGAAGTAAAGAATCAGAAAAATAATGGATTTTACACACCAACACAGGCCATATGACCTCAGTGCCCCTAATTTCCAGGTTTCATGTCAGCATCTGGCATCTTTCAGCACCTGAGAGGGCCTTGGCATCCCAGGAGTACAGGTGTGTGTCTTGGTTCCCCCAAGCTGGGCAACTAGGAACCACCACCTTATATGATCCACAATGCCCCAGACTGACACAACACTGGACACTCCAGAGAAGTGTGGGATATGTACCATAGAAACTCATTGTTGGTAGTGCAGGGTGACCCTGTAATTGGGGGGAAGGCAGAGTGCTGAAAGTTCCATGGATACCTATGGAGCCTCGTGGCGCAGTGATTAAGCCACTGTACTGCAGCCAAAACTGTGCTCACAACCTGGGGTTCAATTCCTGGTAGCGGCTCAAGGTTGACTCAGCCTTCTATCCTTCCGAGGTCGGTAAAATGAGTACCCAGCTTGCTGGGGGGGGCAATGTGTAGCCTGCATAATTAACTTGTAAACCGCTCAGAGAGTGCTTGAAGCACTATGGGGCAGTATATAAGCAGCACACTTTTGCTTTGCTTTTTGTGACCCCCTATGAATGGCAGTCATTCGTCACAAACTCTTTCATAGGGAAAATTGACTGGCTAAAACATTAAGTTCAGTGTGGGAGCAGCTGGATAATGAACAGCAAAGAGCTTCTGGATCTGGTTCTTCAAGAAGTAACATGTACTGCTTCCCACTCCCACCACAAAACCACATTTTATTTCTTCTTTCCCATGCAGGAAACAGACCTAGAGAGTAAGAATCAGAACCCATGTAACAAACATCCCCAGCAACAGCAGCAGCAGGAGCAGCAACAACAACAACACAAGACTAAGCTTGACTCATTATGTCCAATATTTAGAACTTTGACCTTAAAAACAATCATCCTTTCACTGACCTCTTTTTTTTCCCATCAGGAAACTGCTTTTATCTGCTTCACTGAGCATTTTGGTCAGCCTTTCCTCACAAGTTTATCCGACTTAAAAAAAAAAATAAAAAACAGCAGCCTTGCTAATCTTTTTTAAACCTGCTACCACGCCAGCTTTGTTAGCAGAGAAGGAATTTGACAAGATAATTACTGAAAAATCATTGTAAAGTGGCAAAGATCATTGTAAACTTTTAGAAGCCACACACTTCCTTCCTCTCACTGTTTCTCTA